AAGTTTCTCTTTTATTTTAATTTTTAGCCTGAATTACCCAATTTACCTTAAATGCATTGCAAAATGAACGAAATATACCATCGTGAGATCGAAACACTTGGCAATTTACACCTTCATGCAAGAGGAGGTGTATGGTTAAGCGATCGATTCGGATATGGTAATAACGTAACAGATGTTTATTTCTCATAAAGAAAGTCTGCGTGAAGGGACTTGGACAACAATGGACTGCGCAGGTGCAGTTCGACCCTTTCCAGTACAATATGATTGAATATTTCTCATTCTGGTGCGTGCTGTCTTGAGTTACGTTTGAATCTTCAAAGAAGTGTCCGTTGCTTAGTTCAAAATGTCAGTTTAACAATTATCAATATACATTGCAAGTAAATATAGTATTTTTTGTGGAAAATACAATATTTCTTTTTATATATTTGTGTTTTCTAAATTCTATATTGTAAACCTTTTTTTTGTTTGTTTATCCGTAGCCAAATATATTGTTTGCTCTTAAATAATTTACGTCTAATAATTTTTTTTTACCGAGCTTGATGTTAGTCAGTGGATTGCATGTTAGAACTATTTTAGTATAGATTTTTAAATTTAACTTGGAAACATAAATCATATAAAGAAATATTAAAAATTTAAGAATATTTTTATTAGTACTTTTTTTTAAAAGAGCTTATTTGCTAAAATAAGTTTTGTCGTATATTTTCGTTAAGTGCTTCAGAATATTGTTTTATTTATACTTATACTAATTTATACTAATAACATTCAAAATTAGAAAAATACTTACATTACATTCAATGTTCTAGTAAATGTCAGTTTTACAACAATTAATAATTACATTATACTATGTTATTTATTTCCTCTTTGGTTCAAAGTCTCTTTTTTTATTTATAAGTAGGAAATGATTGTAATCACCACTAATATATCTGAATTGATTGATTCCAGGTAATTGTTTAAAATAAAGTTTGATTACGTCAATGTATGCCATTATTTTTGCCGCGTAGAATAAAGAACAGTAAAGTAAGAAATCGAAGCACTTGTTAGCTGTAATAAATTTGTATTGATAAATTTTTTGTTTGACATTTTCTGCACGATACGATAATATTTTCAGATATAATAGAAGAACTTACTATAAAATACAATATATGATACATGTTTCTTACCATAGCCGCACTTTCTAAAGACGCCACAAATATTCCACCGAAATTTATGAAAAGGTTTAGTACCTCTGTGCAACAGAAACAATAACATTTTCTGTATCCTTAAAGGTGCTATGTACCATTGAACATTATATCTATAAAACAGAAAGATGACAACTGAGAGAATACGAATAAACAAATTTATAAATAATTTTCGTCTGCACATTCAAATCACTTTTGATTTTAATATCAAACTTTCACTTTACTGAATAATTCCTCTCAAAGAGCCAAAAGGGAAAGTGTACGTATATTATTATATTGTACAGAAATATATATCTTACACAGTAGCAAATACTCGATTATTGTGATCCGTAATTTCTTGTGCACTGTAGTTAGATATGAGCATGTATACATACAGGTCAAGCATCATAACGATTGGAATCAAAATTTCCTCAATTTTTTTACTAGACACAATCTTAAAAAAAAAACATGAATGGTTTTGTCAATTTCTTATGCACGAGAGATTTAATAATGTTTCTATAATTTTTTAAAACAGATTATGCGTTACATATAGTAAATAATTTGTTTAAATGGCCGCTATATTAAAAGACTTATACCGTGTTGTAAGAAGCATAAGCGCTAAGCTTAACTTATATTTATAAAATAAGACAAACAAATAATGTTTTGAGTGACTTTATATTTGTATGATGAAGAAACTACTTTTCCTTATATCGTTCTAGCTAAAGTTTCTTTAACTAATTTTAATGCTACAAAAAATATAATTTTTGTAAAAGCATAATTTAAGCAAAAAAAATTAAACTTACTTGAACAAGAGTGCTGCTTGAGGAAATCATACCGGCCAGTATTAAAAAGAAGAACGATCCCTCGAAGTCCTTTATCAAAAATTGAGTAAACCTTTAGGAGCAAAAAATATGCACTGAGAAAAATGTCCGGCAACTTTAATCGGAAAAAAGCATTTAACTACTCTATCCGATCTATTTCAAACGGATTTGGAGCTGTCCGATGAAGTAATACATGCCTTTATCCAATGAAATGTAATTTCCGATAATATGTAAATGGAAAATGAGTCGCCGTTTATTTGGTCGTTCAAATTTCGTCGGATTAATATCAGACATTGATTTCATCGGAAAAAAAACGTACTATTTTATCCGACAAAGTTTAACATCCCATGAAACTGAGTGACATTCGATGAAAAGTTATCCGATGATGCCAGTGAGCTGAATATTTTATCCGATATCATTTAGAGCGCACGCGTAGTACACGGCTCGATCTTCGTTTCCGCCGTGCTCCGGTATGCTTGCCGTTTGCCTCGTGCTCGTGCCTGCTCGTGTCTCGTATGTGCCTCGCGCTCGCGTGCTTTTCGACCAAAATCGTTACAGCTACGTATGTGCGTGTTGAGCCGGTTGTGAGAAGTTGTGCACAAGTGTGCAGTTTTATCTTATCCCGAATATGCATATACGAGTAACACATGTATGATACATGTTTCTGGCTAATGGCAGAGAACGAGACGTCTGTCGTAGTCATGGACGTAAAATAATGCAGTAGAGAAAACGTAATTCGTAAAAGGCTGTTGTATGATAGCCTATAACAACTTATGTTTTTCTCTGCCTTGCTTTACATCCACGACTACAACAGATGTCTCGTACTTTGTCATCAGCCATATTCGGGATAAAATATATTATAATCGGATAAAATATAATTGAATCATTTGTGTGTGTGTGTGTGTGTGTCTATAAATTAACAAAAGGATTTTTTGGATTGGATGTTTTTCAATTTTTTGATTGGATAACTTTGGTCGGACATCACTTCGGTCTGATCGGGTTTTTTCCGATCTAAAACATCGGAAACATCCCTCTGTTAATTTTTGGGTAGATTATCCAATTATTTTAATCGGAAAAAGCCTGGATTTTTTTCTCAGTTAATTCTATGTTAAACGGATATTTTAGACACATATACTGACTCCGTAGCTTTGCGATGAATGTCTATCGCACAAATTATTCCTTTATAAATTATAACCACTTTTTCTTCGTTAATATTTTGCTGCATATTAATCGTCATTGCCTTCTCAATGCGGTAACTGTGAATAATTTTTTTATCTGATGTAATTTCTTAATCTTTCTAGACTCTATATTTCTAGATTCGATCTAATGAATAGACTTGATATCACTTATAAAACAAATGCTCATATATTCAATTCTTATACCTGGCGATGCTAAACATTCCACAAATATGTTTGAGATACGTCATCAGCATCGTTCCTGTCGCTACCATTGCAGTTGCCCCTATGCACACAGCTGCATTTATGTGTAATAAAATTAAATAATAACAGTTTTCTTGATCAACAAAATATTCTGTCGCGATTTGAATCGCTGGGCG